CCCCCCCCCCCAGCTTTTAATAGAAGTTTTTGCGACTTCCCGCTGTCCCACTTCGAGCTCTGTCACCATCACACATTTTCAAATGTAGTCGAGCCTGTTTCTTCCCGAGACTCTGAGCCAACCCTGGTTGCCTTCTGGTGATTATGACTTGGGTTGCGGAGGTAGGGAGAGAAAACTCCACTCCGGGGAAGGGGTTTGCTGTACCCTAGAGGATTTACAGATGGCTCTCGCTGGGGGTAGTCCGTGGGTCCCGCTCCACGCTCCTGGGCCCTGAGCCATCTGCCCATAGGGTAGATCAAGCCAGCCTAGCTGCCCTGTGCTGCTGAGTCTGTCCCTGGAGCAGCACCTGTCACTGGGCACCAGGTTCTGCTGGCATCCCGGACCCGCTTTCTCGAGTACACGCGCACACGCACGAACACCGTCTGCGGCCCGGCCCCTCTGTCCTCCCTTCGCCCGGCCAGTGGCCTGCCCCTGGGACTCCCAAGCTTCCTTCCTCCCTTTTTTTCCAGGCTATCTCGATAGTGCGCAGAACACAGATGTGGCCTTGTCACGTCTCCGCCTCACACCCTTCAAAACTCAGTGTCCTTTCCAAGTAGCGTGACCATAAAATTTATCACCCAAACCAGAGCGCTTAGGAGTGTGAGATTGATTGGAAAGTTAATTGTTAGTTTGAAATCAGTTGTCAGGCCGGGACGGCAGGCATGGGTGGGACTCTCTGGGCAAATGGGGCTCTTAGTCATCCTGCTGGGAAGGCTTGCTCCCCAGCTCGCCAGGCCCAGCGCCCCCTCCCCAGCCCAGGGTCAGGTGTCCCTCGGGGCTGCGTCCACCTGCATCCTCCAGGATTCCGCCTCGGGGTTGGGCCTCAGGGTCATCCCGCCCCCCGGCCCATCCAGAAGGCCGTCTGCAGCCACGTTCCTTTCTGCCCCCACAGCACACTGCGGCCGCCTGCTACGACTTTGCACCTGTGCTGTGTTGCGGCATTTTGTCTCCGGGCTGTTTGCTCTGGATTTTGAGCTCTTTGCCCTCCTCGAGGATTTTGTCTGTGGGTGTATCTCTAACAGTTACCACTTGTACGGCCGTGTCCGTCTGCTGGTGCGTTTAGGTCACGTGGCCTTCAACCTGCGTTAAAGCCCTGTCTTAAATCTCCTTCCAGCCCCACCCCCTCCCCCAGAAGAGAAGTTTCTGGTACGGATCTAGATGGAAAGCAGCCGTAGTGAAAGGACTTAGGAAAACGATTTTCAGAGTCAGTTTGTAAACAACCGTGGTCTTCCTGGTTTTATGTGCTGCCCTGAATCATGAGTAAATTCACTTGGCTCCCTTCCTAGTTGAGACTGTGTTTTTCCTTAGACAAATGCAGATGAGGCGGCTGGTTCCGCGTGGCACATGGTTGTGCTTTAATGCAAATGGGAAAGGCGGAGTAAGGAAAAAGAGGGAAATGAGAGGAAATGCCACGGCTTCTCCATCTTTGCCGTCCGGGCGAGAGGCAAATAGGCTCCTGGTGGAGACAACAGAGCGCTGCTGCCACCTGGTGGCGGGTTGTGGTATCTGCTCGCGAGCCGTTCTTTTCTGAAACCCTTTGCTCTTTCAGAACGAGGTGAACGCCATCAAATGGGATCCTTCTGGAATGCTGCTAGCGTCCTGCTCTGATGACATGACATTAAAGGTATGGCTGTCTGCAAGGACGTGCTGCTTCCTCCCAGCCACAACCTGCGTACTCTGTGCGGAGCTTCCACTCACTGTTCCTCACACTCTTCCTGCCTCTGCACTTTGTCCCCATCACTAACTAGATGTCGCTGTCACCCACTTAACTCCCGTGTGTCCGTGTGTCCGTCACGGATCCTGCTGAGAGTCCTTCCCTTCCCCGTGGCGCCCTAGCCCTCTGTCCGCCCCTGTTCTGGGCACTGCGTGGCCGGCCACCCGCCGACCGGGCAGCAAGCTTCCCAGGAGCCAGACACGTGACTTAGGTTCACGGAATAGGTGATGTTGAACCATTCCTGGCTGCAGAGACGGCGTCTGCTCACATTGTTCCCGCTGTGTTCTCTAGATCTGGAGTATGAAGCAGGATACGTGTGTCCATGACCTTCAGGCCCACAGCAAAGAGATCTACACCATAAAGTGGAGTCCCACCGGGCCAGCCACCAGCAACCCAAATTCCAACATCATGCTAGCAAGGTAAAGGGCACACGGCCCACAGCCCAGGCGCGGTTCCTGAAAGCAGCCTTGCTCGCTGTCTCAGCTCGCCACATGGCCAGTAAGAGTTTTTTGTATCCAAACGGAACAGGAAGTTTTGCTGAGGGGTGTTGCGAGTTTGCTCACGCCCTTCCAAAGGAAACGAGGTGGCTAGCCCGCTTTGAATGCACCTCGAGACTCTCCAGTGACTCGTAACTGGAGGGTGAGGGTCATTTGAACCATGAGGTTGGTGGGAGGGGCTGGTCGTGGGGCCGGGCTTTGAGCCCTTGCTTTGGCGAAGGTTTTTGTGAAGACACAGAAAGGAAACGGAATTCAGTTGGGACACCGGACCCGACCCGACCATTTCTGTTGTGACACCAGCATTGGGCGGAGAGGAATGACTAGTCAGGCCACAATTGGCCAGAGTGGTTATAAGTGACGCAGAGGTGGCCTCCCGGAGCCACGTCACTTTAGGCCGCTGTCCGCGGAACTGGTTGGTCGCGGTGCTCGTTGGGACCCCTTTCAGGACGTAATGTTCTACTCTGGGTATTGTGTTTTGAAAAGAACATTCAGAAAACAAAGCAAACACTCTGAGACTGAGCCAGGAGACCTAGGGATCTGGAAGCCACAGTCCAAAGCCTCGTGGGTGTGTTTGCTTCACCGGGAAGGGATGAGACTTGGGGGGGATGTTTCGTTACCGGGAACAACCAGGGGCTGGCTCTCGCACTTGCACAGAACGGATATGCGGGGACAGGTGACAGGTGTCGATCAGGAAGAACGCTCCATCTTTGCAACGGAGCGGGATGCGGGGTGGCGGCCTCGCCGAGCAGCAAGGACTCTTGTTGCCGTGAGTGCTCGACCACAGGCCGTCTCTTAGAAAGTACTGGAAGGCATTCCTACACCTGCTGAGAGACTGAAACCAGAAGAACGTGGAGACCATAATTGTCTTATTTCAAGCAATTCTCCTAAAATCCACTTAAATTACTACGAGAACACACTGAGAATCAGTTTTTGATAGCCCGAAAGGTACTTTTGTGTCACGAGCATAAATTATCCTTTCAGCGAACGGGTATAAAGGGAACATAGCAGTGCCTGAGTCCCTGGTGAGAGCACAGCAGATAACCGCTCTGTGATACATGCTGTTCTTTTCTTTTTAAAAAAAAAATTTTTTTTTAACGTTTGTTTATTTTTTTTGGGACAGAGAGAGACAGAGCATGAACGGGGGAGGGACAGAGAGAGAGGGAGACACAGAATCGGAAATAGGCTCCAGGCTCTGAGCCATCCACCCAGAGCCTGATGCGGGGCTCGAACTCACGGACCGCGAGATCGTGACCTGGCTGAAGTCGGCCGCTTAACCGACTGCGCCACCCAGGCGCCCCCATGCTGTTCTTTTCAACTTGAAAATAAGTCCAATTCGAGCTTGAGACAGTGTGGTTGCATATTTGGATGTGATTGTATTTTAATTCCTGTTGGATTAAGAGTCTTAATCACTCAGGTTGCTCTTTTTCCAGACTGTTGGTATCATCTTAGTTGCTAACAATAGATGTTGGTTTTTGGGTTTTTTTTAATGTTTTTATTTTTGAGACCGAGACAGAGCATAAGCAGGGGAGGGGCAGAGAGAGAGGGAGACACAGAATCCGAAGCAGGCTCCAGGCTCCGAGCTGTCCGCGCAGAGCCCGACGTGGGGCTCGAACTCACGGACTGTGAGATCATGACCTGAGCCGAAGTCAGACGCTCAACTTACTGAGCCACCCAGGCGCCCCAATAGATGTTTTAAATTGCAGGAGTATTTAATTTTTAGCTTTTTTTTTTAAATGTTTATTTTTTGAGAGAGAGACAGCGTGAGTGGGAGAGGGGCAGAAAGAGGGGGAGACACAGAATCCGAAGCAGGCCCCAGGCTCTGAGCTGTCAGCACAGAGCACGACGTGGGGCTCGAACTCACAAACTCAAGATCACGACCTGAGCCGAAGTTGGGGGCTTAACCGACTGAGCCACCCAGGCACCCCAAACTGTAGGGAGCATTTTAGAAATCGAGTAAATACTATACAAGAGCATATATCATTCATCTCCGTAGAACACGCAGAAAGCAATGAATGTGGATGTCACCTTGTTTCCTTAATGACAGCCCCGGAAGAAAAGATTCGTTTTGTAACTATGGGCTTTTTATCACTATGCCCCAGTCACATTTTAGAAAAGGCATATGCCCAGTTACTGTCTCTCGAAACCTCAGGGCCAGGAAGGACAAACAGCACGTGAGATCCGTTGAAGGTCTTAGGGAAATAGAAACCAGCGTGTTTCTCTGATGATGTTTTCTCTCCGGTCTTTCTAGCGCTTCATTCGATTCTACGGTCCGACTGTGGGATGTGGAGCGAGGCGTCTGTGTCCACACGCTAACCAAGCATCAGGAGCCTGTCTACAGCGTAGCTTTTAGCCCTGACGGGAAATATTTGGCCAGTGGCTCCTTCGATAAGTGCGTGCATATCTGGAATACTCAGGTAATCCCCCGATTGCCGCGACCGAATCCTTTCCAGAAGTAATGCCCAAACAGCATTTGTGGGGACCCAGGCCAGGAGCGGCGACTGGGAAGTCTGTGCTTAGGAACGAGTGGCCTCACACGGAGCCTGGAAGCAAACCCTGCCTTGCCCAGGCGGACCTCGGGCTCAGCACCGCGGGGCTGTGGGCCTTCCCCCCCCCCCCCCCCCCCCCCCCC